GCACCTCTCACAGCAGCTGCCTTTTGCACTCTCTCCTCTGTGCTCCTGCTCCACTCATTAGCACCATGTTTAACAGTGAGCAAGAAGCTGCAAGTGAAAGGAAATTTTCCTTCAGAAAAGAAAAATGGGAAGAGTACTAGAGCATCTAATGAGATATATACAGTATACATAAATAGGTCAGTATTTTATTGAATCACTAAGGAACACCCTTTATAAAAGATTTTAAAAAAAGAAAACTGGGAGTTTTCTTCTTTAGATTCATGACCAGAATAGTAAAGTAGTGTCAAACATCACAGAACATTTGGATGCATCCATTAATAAGCAACAGGGAGTTTTATTTCTAGGAGCCAGGTAGGACTACGCTACCAGGTAATTAGTGAACTTGCCATCAACTACTGCTTCTGGTACCAAACTGAAAATTAAAAAAGTATTAGCTAGTCACTGTTTTCATTTCACCTCAGGAAGTCTGCAAGAGATACAATATTCCTTACTCAATGTATATAATCCCCAGACTTACTGAATGGAAACAAATCAGCCTCTCAACTTTTCTAATAATAAAAATTTTCAAGAAAGGAAGTGAAAAAAAATAGCAACCTTTATTCTCCCCCACTCCCCCTTGCAACTTTTTTCCCTTTTTAAGTCTAATTTTACCTCATTTCATGTTGCTACTGAAAAAGAGAGAAAGGAAAACAAATACAAAGAGAATAGAGCAAAAATTAAACTCTGTTTCTGCTCTTGGGAACCAAACAACGCTCGGTGGCTTTAAACAAGAGTTTCCATTCAGTGGGGAACTGGGTGATCCTGCATGCAGCGTAACACTGTGGAGCTGGGATTGCAATCAAACAGAAGGGAAGGAGCAGCAGCTGCTTTGGGAGCCCCAGAGGCTGCTGGAGGGCTGCAGAGCTGCTGACCCCCCAAGAGCCCTGCAGGCTCTCACTGCACTCACCCTCGAGCTCTGCAATGCCTTCAGCTCTCCTGAGCACACTCCCCATCACAAACCAATTTGTACCTCCCCTTCCTCTGCAGAATAACCCCAGAGTGCAGGGAAGCCATTGTACCACCGACATCAAATTTAACACTATTGAAATTATTGCATTCATAAACACTACTGAAATAATTTCATTCACAAACTCAAAATGCCCATGGAAGGCCAAATGACAACTGCACCAAGCTCACACCTGGATCCTCAGCCCGTGCCTCAGAGCCCTGTGGTGCCCCTGTAAAGCCTCCAAGTCTCCTGGAGGTTTGGCTCCAAGGATGGGGTTTCTATGAAAAACATTGCTTTGTATTGCTCCTTTAGGAGCACCAGGAACACAGAGAGTGGACAGAGCTTCAGGACCTGCTTGAAAGAGGTCTGAGGTAAGGCTCTAATTATACACAGCCCTAACAGCACTGACAAGATTTAAAAATGCACAGCTCCCTGTAACAGGCATTTTGAACCATGTGGTCAAGCCAGTGTTGGCACCAAGCCTCCAACAAAGGTGCTGTCCCCTTTTCTGGTGGCCAGCAGTTCTGGCAAGCCTAAATAGAGGCTGATGTAGCAATTCCAATAGATCACAGTTTGTGTGCCTAAAGAAGGACCAAGCCCAGAAGCAGAGGCAGCTAGCTGCTTGTTCTCCCACCACCACAATTCCCAGCCCAACAGAGGAGTGCTGCAGCAGCACTGGCATCCCAAATCTCTGCTCCCCTGCACAGGTCTCCCTTTCCCTCTCACAGACAGGAGATTTGGGTTCTTTCTGCCTCTCTAGCACATCCATTTGTGGAGAGAGCTGTGACCAGGGGGACTCAGGCCTGCCATGACATCTCCAGCTCACACCTCCAGTGGAAGCCCCAAATCACTGCTGAAAGCAGGCAAACAGCTCCTGAGGGGGGCCCAGGAGACCCAAGGGATCACTCAATAACCCAGCTCACAGGGCACACCTATGCACTCAGCTTCTCACTCAGCATGAGAAACAGCAAACCCCATGCACAAGTGGAGCATGAATCAGCCATTTCTTGAGCAGGCTTGAAAAGAACAACCTACTCCATTGAAATGGCCCAGCAGCACAAGGGTTAATGCTGGCCAGGAAAGGATTCAGTGGAAACCCTTGGAAGAGCTGGGCTGGGAACTGCAGTGCAAACCACAAACAGGAGTGGGGACAGCTGATGTGTCACTGCTGCCCCATGGGTCACCAGCTGGCAAAATAGATTTATGCTTGTGAATATGGTAATACAAAGCCCAGGGCAAGCCTGAGCTCTTTACTGTCTCCAGATATTACAGCAGTGGAGACAGAAATTAAAAAAAAAATTAAAAATCACTGCTTTTGAAGTGTTTTCTTGACCTGCACTAGCACCTCTCACTTTAATATTTATTTGTTGACTAAGAAGAATCACTGAAGAAAGAAATAATTTCTTGGGGGAAAAAAATTATAAATAAAATAATTTTTTCAGTGCTTCTGGGTAGCTGGTGGTTCACCCCTTAAAACCAGAGGATTTCTGGGGAAGAGCAGAAGGGTCAGCCTAGAAGAAGGGTGACAATACTGACTCAAGATGATCAGGGAGGGGGGAAGCAGCTGCTGTGAGCCCCCCAGAATGAGAGGAGGGGTCCCCCAGGGCTGTGAGCCCCCAGAACGAGGGGAGGTGTCCCCCAGGGATGTTTTAACTTCCCAGAATGAGGGGAGGTGTCCCCCAGGGCTGCGAGCCCCCCAAACACGGAGGGGGGAGCTTTGCCAGCCCGCGCTGCTGCAGCGCCTCTGGCGGCCAACAGGTGGCGTCACGGCACTCACGATAAACGCCATTTACTAGAGAAAGGTAATTTTGTAAAATATCCCTTTCTTTCTAAGCCAAAAGCCCAAGCCAACGATTTTTGTTTTCCTAGAAAAGTGACCCTGGATCTGAGGTGAAACGTCGGCCTTCCGTGAAACAGAAACACACTACCCCAACTGCATCAGCATGGGAGCACGGTGAGGAAATAAAGCTTCCAACTGGGCTCACCCACAGGCAAAAGCCCAAACAGCCGGGGCCAGCGAGGAAAGACTGGGGCCAGTGCCTCCACTCCCCTTCTCCTGCCTTTTGGGCTGGCCTTTATTCTCCAGCGTTTAGAGCAGCATGGAGCTTTTCACGCTCCGTCAGCACACTTAACAAGCAGCGTGTGCAAACTCCTTGTTTGCAGAGGCAGTGCCTTGAGCATTTCCTTTCTGGCAGCGAAAAGGACCCTTTCTGGCCAGGACTGCAAGATTGCAGGAGGCTCAGGCTGCCCACCAAGCCTGGCAGGTATGGCCTGATCAGCCCGCAGACAGCAGCTTGCCCTGCTCACAGGTGAGACACAGCAGGGCCAGGGCCACCCCTGCTGCTGCCCCATGGCTGGCATCCCTCCATGGCTGGGATCCACGGCCAGTGGCACCCTCAGGCATGGCACCCACAGCCACTCAGTTTGCCTCACCAGCGCGAGGGACTCGTGTGCTCTCCAGCCCAGTCAGCACTGAGCACAGGCATTTGCACTCGTGGCTCCTGGGCCAGGAATGGGAATGATGCCTCTTTCTGCTAAATAAGCAGTGGAGGTTTGCCTTTTCCCTCACAGAGTCTCTGCAGGCCATGTCCTGCCCCAGGCTTCCAGCAAGAAGGGCTGAAAGATTTGTAAAAGCTCTTGGTGAGTAAAATAAGCCCCTCAAACACAGCCCTGCTGCTCTCAGTGCTGCTGAGCCACTGGAAAGCAAACTGAGTGCTACATCCCCACTCCAAAGAATGAGCTGCATGTTTGTACACATGCTGGGTGGGGTGCACAGAGTGGGTTTGGGGTGCAGCTGACAGCAACACCACCCCAAAAGCACCTGGAGCTGGATGGCTGTGACACACAACCCCATCGATCCCCAAGATGGGATCTGCACGGAGGACGAGCGAGAAGGACCAGTAAAACATGTGTGGGTCGTGCTGACAGCCTGTCCCACGCTCCCAGAGCCTTTCCAGCTGCAACAGGGAATGAACACAACTCCCACCTGCAACACAACCACACCTTCTTAGGGGGGCCCTTCACATGGGCCCACAGCAACAAGAAATAATAAAAACAGCGGTGTTTAAAGAGCAGGTTCTGATGCCAAGGGTTGAGTGGTGACCAGCAGCACTTCCCCCATGACCAAGAAGGGACAGAAAGGCTGGCCTCCAGCCTCAGCGAGAAAGCACAAGAAGAGCTGGCATCCCTCCTGACTCTCTTCTGGAGGCCAGCTGAGTCTCAGTGATGCAGCACTCACCTTTGCTGGGCTCTCCCAGTTCTGCAGAGGCTACAGCTGCAGCAGGAGCCCTGCTCTGAGCCCTGCAGTCAGAGGTGACTATGCCCCCTGCCATGGCACTGCTCTGCCTGCCTGGGCAACAGCAGAACCCTCCCTTCAATCCCTGCTGTCATTTGGAAAAGCTGTTTCTGCAGCACCCAGCCTGTTTCCTGTCTCTGAGGTGAGTGACCCCTGGGCTGGCACAGTCCCCAGCCCAGCAGCACAGGGCTCCCAGGGTGGTTTGTTTTACAGCACAGCAGGAGCTGCTTACGCAGGGCAGGGCTCCCGCTCCTGTGCCCACCTGGATCCCTGCCCAGACTCACCGAAACCACCTGTGTTACAGCAGTAGGACAGTGGCAAATTCAAGAGCCTCAGAGTGCCGAGCAGATATGGGGGAATATTTCAGCTTCATGGTTTCTCAGTGCTATGCACACACTCCTTGAAGAAATCCCTTCAAACTGTCTGCTCCCAAACAACCTATATACATCACTGGCCCCAAAGATGACACTTGATGAAAGAGCCTTACAAAACCAATCCTCACATTTCAGCCAGCAGAGCATCCAAGTGCACGGCCAAGCCAAGCCAAACAGCACTGCTCTGGCCTGGCAGTGTGTGTACGTGGCTTGCAATGCCCATTGTTGCTCCATCCCAGAGAATGAGTCACCCTCCCCAGGGCTGTGCCTTGCCCCCGCACGCACGTTTCGCAAGGCTCCTGCCTTTATAACAGCGTGGTGCTGCTCCTGGCAGATCGCTGGGCTGCCTGCAGAGCCACGGGCAGCAGCCAATCCTCCTCACCATGATTCTCCTCCTGCAGTACTTCTTCATGCTGGCCACAGACCTGGTGCTGGCCATGACCCTCTCGTGCCTCTTCTACGCCTTCGCGTGCGCCTCCATTGCGTTGCTGACCTGCTGCGCCATCGTCTTCTCCTTCGGCAGCACCGAGAGGAGCGCCGACGTCAAAGGGAGAGCCATCGTCATCCTAGTGTCCAACAGCTCCATCGGCAGGATGTTTGCAAGGAACCTGGACAGAGCAGGCTTCGGGGTGTCTGCTGCTCAGTGGCCTGCCCGGGAGGAGAGGACAGTGACACAAGAGTGCCCATCCAACAAGGAGGTAGCCCAGCTGCACCTGACCGAAGATGAGTATCAGAAGACAGTGAAAACCTTCATAGAAAGCCACTTATCCCTGAAAGGTAACCAACCTCTAGGGCAAACTTGTGGGTTGTGCCTACTGTAGAAATTAAAATGCACAGGATTGTGAGGTCGTAGTTCAGCAAATGAGGAAGGCAGGAATGCTTTAGCAAATGGTAATAACACTCTAACTGCAATGCATTTTGTTGTGCAAAACAAAAATTTTGCTTTTTCCAGGGGAAAGAGCCTGCTTTGGTGGCTGTGAAAGGCCCCAGCAGACCCCAGTCCCTGAAGGAAGGCAAGGTAGGCCAAGGAAGGAGGGGGAGAAGGTCCTATCAAGGCACAGAGGTCTGGACTTGCTCTGAGAAGAAAACACAGAAACGAACAATGGGGAGCAAAGCCTAGACAGTGACCTCAGGTGAAGGAACGTGTCTGATCTTTAATCTCTTCTGGATTAAAAAGGAACCCAGCTGAGCTCCCTCTTGGCTTCCCGGCTGCTGTGGGATTCCTAAGAGTCAGGTCAGAGCTTTATGTGGCAGGCTGGGACAGAGTCCCTGAGCCACGCTGCCATTGTTCCTGTGCATGGCAGGCTGGGACAGAGTCCCTGAGCCACGCTGCCATTGTTCCTGTGCGTGGCAGGCTGGGACAGAGTCCCTGAGCCACGCTGCCATTGTTCCTGTGGGAATACAGGAGTGAAGGCAGCCTGCAGAGCTCACGTGGGACAGCACGGGGCAGGTGTCCCGCTGAGGGCACGGCTGTGGGCACTGCTGGGCTACGGGGTTACAAGGGAAGAGGCCAAGCCCTCTCCTGCTCTGCAAGCCCACCTAAGGGCCCTGGGAGCCGCAAAGCTCTCTCCTTCCCCATCCCTCTGCTCCTGGCTCTCTCTCTGCGGTCTCTGCAAGGCTCCCCTTGGGCTCTCCCCGGGCAGCCTGCTGGCATCTCAGAGAGCACCCCCGTGTCCCCAGGACAAGTAAGAGCCTTGGTACCGCTGCCCAGCACTGAAAGCTGTCTCTGTGCTCCCAGGCCCTGCAGAGGAAGGACATGTTGGAGGTCAGAGCACGCCCAGGAAGGCTCCAGCACTGCAGACGCCCTTGGAGGGGCAGTAGGGACCCCTGGCAGCCCCTGCAGCTGCTCAGGACACAGCTCCCTGCAGTGCCCTTCTCTCAGCAGCCCAGCACCAGCAGTGCCTCTGCAGCTCTGCATGGCCCAGGACGCACCCCCAGCTCACTGCCTGCGTGCAGGCTCCACAGATGGCTCCCTGCACGCCAGCAGCGGGCTCCACACCGAGTGCTCAGCTGCCTGCACGAGCATTTTGGCTCATTTACCCCAGGAAAATTACTCTGCTAAAACCTTCTTGTGTGGACAGGGCCTAGAAGCTCCCCAAGCTGAGCATCAGCATAATCCTGCTCTGGAAATGAACAACAGAGGCTTTCTTAACCAGTAATGATCTGTGGGAGCTGGTGATTTCTGTGGGCCTGTGCTGTTCTAATGAAATGAGGCTCCAGCACAGTGATACCTGTCTTCTTTTGCTCTTGACTAGTTTGGTCCCCCTGCTAGTTAAAGGCTTTTGCTGGTGTCACGTTGTTTTGACAGGGGGATCTGTCGTAGGATCCGTGAGGTTTTACATTTAGGATCTCCTGCATAATATTCACATCACAGATGTGGATGTTGAAATGTATTTCCCAAGTGCTGACCCAATTGCATGGCAGATCAAAGCAGTAAGTTGGGAGGGAAAAGAAAAATAAAAATAAGAGAAAAATAAAAAGAGAAAGAAAACCTCACTGTTTTCTTGGGTTTCTTTGTTTACAGTTTTGAGTGAGTGCTGATATTCATTTTGCAAAATTTACCGTGGTATTTTTGGCATGGGTTAGGTGAACATGAACACTCACCACCAATAATAATGAAAGAATTTAAACCAAATCTAAAACCTACATTGGTGGGTCCCCACATGCAGTTTGGTCAGCAGGATCTGGACAAGGGCAGGAGAAGAGTTAGTGCTGTAGGGCAGAACCATTACACAATCTTCGCTATTTAGAAACTTCTCTTATGCACTTTGTGTGTGCCATTTTTAGTTCCTAAAGAAAGGAACCTTTGCTAGTTTTTTATGGGTTTTGGTCTTTTTTTTTGATTACTTGTCCCTATAGGAGGTTTTTACCATTGTATCTTTGCTATAGTAAATAAAAAAATACTTGTTCTATATAATGAAATCTTTTAAAATTCATCTTAGATGCCTTTCAAGGTAACACAGTGAAGACAGAATCCCCCAGCCATGGTTGCTTCAAGAATTAAAATAGTTATGATAGCTAAGATAATCTACTTTTCATTCTAGTACAGGCCCAGCAACTCAAATTTTCAGGCTAGCAGGCTGTATTTTGCAGTGACTGTACAAGTTAATAAGATGCTACCAGGCCTAAGGAGAATGTAACAAAGACACAGAGAAATGCAAGCCAGCCCCCTTCCAAATTCTTCCTTTGCTGTGTGATAGCTTAGCTCAGTTCATAAAAAGCCTTTAGTGCTTCTGGCTTTTAGCCTTTGGTGCCTTTAGATCAGATATTCAAACTTTCTCTGTGACCAAGAGGTCAAAGAGACAGAGGGAAGAAGAGGAGAGAAGGAGTTTGATTGCTCACCTGCAGCAGCTGAGCCTGCAGTGTCAGGTATTGCAAGAGCCCCTGGCATGGTGTCCAAGCCCTCTGTGATGTGCTGCTGGTGGAACTGCTGTGCTGTGCTGCTCTGGGCAGGTGCCTGGAAACGCTGGCAGTGCCTCAGCAGCCTCGGGAGGGACTGCAGCGAGGGTGGGGCAGGGCAAGGAGGAAAGGAGCAGGGATGGGCAGAGCCCAGAGACAGCACCCTGACCTGATGCACAGGGCTCAGAGAAGCAGAGGGCTCCCCTTTACCTGCTGGAGCCCCTGCTGTCACAGCTCCCGGGGTTCATCTTCACACACAACAGCCCCAGGCTGGGCTAAGCCAGCACTGCCTGGGCACAGCATCACACAGCTGGCTGACTGGGAGGGGCCAAGGGACACCTTCCACTAGAGCTGCCTGCTCAAAGCTCATCCAGCCTGGCCCTGGACGCTTCCAGGGATGGGGCATCCTCTGTAATTCCCCAGGTTCCCACAGGAGAGATGATCCTTGATGTGAGCAATGCCTCACACTGCACAGCCTTCCTTGGTTTGTTCAGATCTCTGCTATGCTGAAGCTGCTTACGCAGTTCTGTTGGTTTTCACTGCGTCAGGATTTCATGTCTTGTACCTGGACCTCAGATAACACCTGACAACTGCTGGGTTCTTAGGTGCTTACCATCTTCCATCTCTGTCCCTGTCTCTCAAACAGGAAGGACAATAACCTCTGCACAAGCAGAGGAATAACTGATGCAAATTAATAACATTAATTCCTAAATAAACACACTCTCACCACCACACTGCACCATGGTTTCCAGACCAGTAGCAAATGCATGTTCCAAGCCTTGCTCTGCAGGCTCCAAAGGGCTGGAAAGAGCTGCCTGTGCAGACAGCCAGGCCAGTGGGAGTTATTGAACTGTCATCCTCGGCCATCTGTCCCCATCTCCATGTTGCTGTTGGCAAAGCAGCTCTCATGACCTCTCCCTGAGTGAGTGCAGATCACCTTATCATGGGATCAGTTTAAATAGGTGTGCTAAGCCCTGTTAATGCAGCTCATTACTTTCCTCTGTGCGCCGTGGGACACTGATGCAATCTCTGAGCAGGGCTGCCAGGGCAGGCAGGCCAGCCTGGGCAGCTGGCTCTGGTCAGGAGGGTGGCACAGCTCAGGGACACGCTGCCACAGCTGGTCCTGCTGAGGAGGGTGGCACAGCTCAGGGACACACTGGCACAGCTGATCCTGGTGAGGAGGGTCAGGGACACGCTGGCACAGCTGGTCCTGGTCAGGAGGGTGGCACAGCTCAGGGACACGCTGCCACAGCTGGTCCTGGTCAGGAGGGTCAGGGACACACTGGCACAGATGGTCCTGCTGAGGAGGGTGGCACAGCTCAGGGACACACTGGCACAGCCAGTCCTGCTGAGGAGGGTCAGGGGCACACTGGCACAGTGGCTGCAGGGTGCCAGCAGCCCCCTGGTTCCTCGGGCAGTCTCCACCTGTCCAAGAGGCCAGGCTGCTTTCACACCTCTGCTGTGCAGCAGGCAGCAGTGGTAGATGCTCTCCTGGTACTTTCCCTTGCCTTGCACCTCTCCTTCAGCATTCCCAGACTTTAGCTGGCCACAGTTTGATCCAGAATGGCTCTCTGGGGACACAGACCCAAAGAAAGACCCTACTGCGAGCCTGGACAGGAGACAGAAACATGGGAACTGCTGCCTTGTGTGGTGTTCACACTGTAGAAGCTCTTCTCTTCCTAAGGATGCCAGGGTGGCTGATGAGGTTATTTTATCGGAAGGTAACCCTTACTCACTGTCCATGCTGTGCTTTCCTTAGGACAAAGGCAAGGCCACCCAGCCATTCCTACTCTCAGAGCAGAGAGAAAGCCCAGCTTTCTTGTGGAACAGCCTGGCTTAGTGCGTGGCACGAGCGGCCGTTCCCACAGCCTCAGAGATGGATTGAACAGATGCAATAATCATTGACTGCAATAAACTACAAGGGAGTAGGAATGAATAAAGCAAACAAAATCATATACTCATGCAATTTTAAAGAGTACTGCATTATTTAACTTCACTCAGCTACAACAACTGTAGGCCACCTTGGACAAATCAGCCCATTTTCCAAGCTGTAAATGACCACGTTTGGACTTAGGAATGAAATGCATAATTTTTGCAGCTATGCTTTTGTGCCTTTAATGGGGGTTATCCAGAAGTTTTTGAAAAACTGGCTTGCAATTATATTGCCTTCCTGTTTCTTGGGGATTTATCAAAACCAGAGAAGCACTTTGATACCACAGCATCAGGGCTATGAAACAGCCCAGAGAGAGAAAACAGACCTCATTCTGTTTTCCTCTATAGGCTGGGAGGAGTTATTTTAAGATGAAGGGGAGTTCCCCACTCAAAGCATCTTTTTAAAAATAGGAGTCTGTGCATCATCTAGAGTCAAGGTGTCTTTT